ATCATATTCGCAGAACGAAAGGTTTCCTTCAATGATTAATGTTTTGGAGAATTTCCCTGCGTAAATTCCAACAGAAATTATGTTTTTTAACAAGGTTCTAAATAGAACTGATTCTTAGAAACATAATTCTGATTGCCCGCAAAATCGTTTAGACACTCTCAAACTGGAATTTTTCCTTCTGAAGTACAGTAACGTAGAAACGCGTGGGTACTGCCTGCCGAATCGCACGTCACAGGATTTTCTGTGCCAAACGCACCAAACGAAAACCTGGCGTGTAAGTCTTGTTCCCAATTTCTGGTAGATTCTGTTTCGGATTTTGGTTTGGGGCACTGTAGCGTGCGACTCTTTGCGACGCACGCTGAGCCGCTGTCTTTTTTTTCAGCGCCCGTCATTTTTGGTACAGTTGAGTTTTTGCCTATTTTCTGCGATTTCGACCTTGTCCATGGAAGTAAGGCGGATGTCCATGAAAGTAGGGACGGAGTCCACGGGAGAAGCGAAAGGTTGATGTGGTGTCCGTGAAAGTAGGGGCTGTCCACGAAAGTATGAAAAGATTTGTGGGCAGTCCGCGGCAGTAATTTTCCCCGGGAAGTAGGAGAAGAAACCAATTCTTGAAACCCTAGTGAGAAAAGTCGAAACCGGAAGTTTGAGAGGAGACAACTTAAAATGATTTTTTTATGAATTTAGGGGAATCGACATGTCAGTGTGACTCAGTTGCATGGACAACTTGTAATCACCGGGAAGGTGGGCCGATCGACGTCTGCAGCGACTGCTACGGCGTTTTGCATAATATTTGTCGGCGTCAACTGAGGGAGAGATCTGTCGATTTCCATCTGGGAGTCAGATTCTGACAATTGAGAGGCAGGCTCGGCGATTGATTGCTGTCAGAAGCACAACGTTTCCCGACACGCAAGCTTGCACGAATTAGAACGCGCCCTCAGTAGTTGCATCTCATAAACAGTTATCTAATATAGGATTTTGCTACATGGTATCCTGTTGCCATTTTTTCCCTTGAAAATAGGTTTTGAATAAGTGATTTCTTTTTGGACCACCTATTTGTGTCTTTCGAATAAAGTGTACAAAGTTTGGTTACGGTTAGCTGTTGTGGTAATTTTGTGTCATGCTTTGTAACACTCGGTGTTACTCTGTGAAACCATCAACATTCGCGTTTTTCGTTTTGCTCGCAGTTCGCCAGTTTCGCCACTGTGTTGTCAGCATCATTCTGCCCAATGGGGTGGGGTACGTTGTCTGCGTTTGTCATATGGCGCCAATTTTCCGCTGCCTGTTTTGTTTGTGTGTGTCGGGGCTGAACGGCTGATTTGTCGCTTGCGCAGTGTTCTGCGGTTTGTTTACATTGTGGGCGCTTCGTCACTTGAGCATTTGACTCCACGTAGATGCCACAGGATGGCAAGCCTTTCCCGAGGCTGCCGATAGGTTGTTAGCGTGGTCTCGGTATACACGCTCGCCTTAATCCACTCCCGCATGCGCTGTAGGTACACCCTCGGTTAGCGGATGGAGTACCTACAGTGTGGCCAGTCCCAAACCACTTTGTGGCTTGGTACTGTTTCCCGAGAATCTTGGCGGGTACGCGAAGGGGGGATTTGCGAATTTTGGGATGTACTACTCACTTTCCCCCTCCCCTCTGGCCCCTATGCTGAACACGCTATCCTCTGCTCTCCAACCTCGGCACATTACCGTCTTCCACCCACTTGTGTTGTTGTGCTCTGTGTCCTTTTGCAGGGAATTTACAGGCAACAATCTTTCCTGCGCTGAAACTGGGCCGTGCATCGTCACTCAGATCTCCACCTCAGCCTTCTGTCACATATGCCCTACCTTCTGCGCCAACTGCACTCCCTTCTACAGTGAGCTCAATCCCAGTTCTCTCCCCCGTCCCCCCCCCCGTCCAAACCCACGTCTGCTGAGGCCCCTAAGATGCCATACCACGCGGATCATTTCACACGGGTGGTGCTCCGCCTTGTTGGGTCTTCCGCCTGTCCCTTCCCCCGTTGTATGGACTCGTCTTCTGTTTGCTGCATTCCGTCAATGCCCCCACGTGTGTCATCCCGCCATGTGCCTGGCTTCCTTCCCCTTATTTCCCAACTGTTCCTTGACTCTTCCGTCACTCATGCCACCACTCACAGTGTCAAGCAGCACACCTCCGGTGCTTCCTCCATACACTCCGTCGCTTCCTCCGTACACTCCGTCCTCCAGCAGCAGCAGCAGCAGCAGCCGCAGCAGCGGCGGCAGCGGCAGCGGCAGCGGCAGCGGCAGCGGCAGCAGCAGAGGCAGCGGCAGCGGCAGCAGCAGCAGCAGCAATCTGTCGTCAGGTGCCATAGCAGGCATTGTCGTGGGCAGCACCTGTGCTCTCATTCTCGCGCTCATGGTACTAGCTTGCTGGGTCTACTACATCAGGAAGAAAAACTCACACAAGGAGGGTCAAGCGAGCAAGGATGAGGAAGACGTGGAAGGAGGAAAGGCACGAGCAGCACCTGCTGATCCTGACAAAGAGCCCGAGGCAGGGGCAGCGGAAGCAGCGGCGGCGGCAGCAGTGGCAGCGATAAAAACAGAAGCAGCAGCAGCAGCAGCGACGGGAGAGGCGCGACCGCAGGTGTGCCGGCAGTACTCGCTGGGGGAGGTTGCTGCAGCCACGAACGAGTGGGCCGAGGCGAACCGCATTGGAAGCGGCAGCTTTGGGGATGTGTACAAGGGCGCCAACCCTGAATGCCCCTCTGAAATATGGGCCGTCAAACGAGCCAAGATCTTGACTAACGACTTCAAACGCGAGGTAAGAACGCAATTTGAAAATACACTACTGATAGGGATGTTAGAGAGGAAAAATCTCAACGCATCTTATAATGTTTCCTTCATTTTAGTCAATAATGAACTTAGTTGTCCTTTTAGGTTGTATCTCTTGCCTTCCATTAGATTGACATGTGTCCGTCCAAATTCTAGGCACACATCTTCAACTCCACGCCCCATTTGAGAGCAATCCTACTTTTCACTTCATGGCAGGTGAATGAGATGGCGACAAAGAACCACCCAAACCTGGTGCGCCTTCTGGGGTACTGCTTTGACATGAACCACACAACGGAGCGCATCGAGCAGATTGTCATCTACGAGTTCATGGCCAATGGCGACCTTGAGAGGTGGATTGGACCACGTAAGATACTCTCTAATTGTCTCTGCCCTGTTGACCTTAATCAAGCCCTAATCGTGCACACTTTACCACCGTGCTCGTGTTAGTTCTTCATTTTCTAGCTCTTACTCTTTGTACATCACTTCGGTCCTGCTACCTGAACATTTCGGGGAGGGTTTGGGGTTCCTGTCAACTGCTCCTCTTTCTTCTTTTGACTTGCCTCAGATGCCCCCAAGCAGCTGACAATAAGGCAGCGCGTGGATGTGATGATCGGCATGGCTCAGGGGCTGCAGTACCTGCATGGCTTTGGCATCGTGCACCGCGACATCAAGCCAGCCAATGTGCTTCTTGACGACAAGATGCAGGTACGCACGAGTATGTCAGAATGCAAGGAGTGTGCGGCATTTCCCAGGCAACACTGGATTTGCATATGTGATTGTATGTGTTTGAGTTCTTGCACTGGTCTGGTGGAGACACATGTTATCAAAAACAAGCGGAATGGGCACCATGCCATATCTTGCTGATGGATTCTGATGCTGCTGTATTTCGATATGCCAACTGCCTAATACTTGCATGTGCATTTCTTCTGCAGGCCAAGATTGCAGACTTTGGGCTGGTGAGGATGGGCGAGGGCACATCCGTGTTTGCTACGCGAGTGATGGGAACACCGGGCTATGTGGACCCCGCTTACTTCAAGTCACAGAAGGCCACCCCCATGGCTGATGTGCACAGGTATGGGTGATGTGCAGAGGTGTGGTGTTTATGGGTGGATGACGCATGCAAGAGTGCTCAATCCAGGACAATATGATGTGCACACATGCATTATGATCTGTATCGAATGAAGAAAGTTGTGGTTTTTTATTCATCTTCCCACTCATGTCCATGCTTACTACCCATATCCTTGTACATTTTATCCTCGAACATCATGTATAGCTCTGTACGACATCCCTCACGTATTGCAGCTTTGGAGTCGTGATGCTGACGGTCATCACAGCCCGCAAAGCCATCTCCATGGTGGACTCTGATCAACACAACCTCAAAACTTGGGTGAGCCCTTTGGCCTCATTTGAACCACAGCGAACTTATCTTTCCATCTTCATAAGATGAAGTCGCTTAACCTCAACCTGCCCGGATTAGTTGCTTTGATGCAATTTCTCTATCGTGCTTCGATGGGGATGTAAAGAAGAAATCATATGGTTAATCCACTTTCGTATCCTCTTCCTCCTGGCCTCAGGTGGCTCCTCTGGTGGCGGCTGGTGACGTGGCAGCCTTCAAGGACCCTCTTCTGCAGGCGCCAGATGATTTGGTGCTGCGCATGGCCAAGCTGGCCATCAGCTGCACGGCCATGCCCACTGCCGCCCGGCCCTCTATGAGCCGGATATTGGGAGATCTGTTGGTCATGAAGGACGAGTTTTTGGGGGCGGAGTCCAACCGGATGGCTGAGAAGATCGATCGGGAGCTGGAGTCTTCGTCTGCTGGGATTGATTTCGATGTGGAGCTTGCTCGCGCCCAGGGAATGCGTTCCAGCAGTGGGCTGTCAAGTGGCAAGTAATCCGTTAGAGTTTTTGGTGGAAGCACTCCTGTTGGCTCTGCAGATAGGCATGTTTCTACACTTCTTTTTTGCATCGAAAGCGCATCGAGGTGAGAGGTATATCGAAACTTAGTCCCATGTTTTGAATTTAGGTGGAGAGTGTGTGGCCCAATGAATTGCTCTCGTTTGTGGTAAAAATGGACAATGACAGAAACTCGGAAAAAACCCTCACAAACATGGTGAAGTTGGCACTTGCCTTTTTTGTTTGTCGAAGGGGAATTGAAGCCAATAACGAGCCTACTGAACTTGGAATTTCAGAAAGAAATTCCGTTAAAAGTATGTTTTGTTGATTTCTTGTGCATTGGTTTTTGCATTCATGAGGTGGGTTTTATGGTTGCTAAAAAGGATAACGTAAGTGCTGTTGTGTATATGGACCTACACTACATCTCCGTCCCGTGCCGTCGAGGTGCGAAGATTTCCCGCCATTGTCCGCTGCCCTGCCCGGCCTGCTCCACCCGAGCATCGCCGGCCGTACAGTACACACCATGTCCATCCATCCCACACCCGCATACACATGAATTCCTTTTCAGGCTTAGATCGTTTTCGCACGGGTGCTCCAAAATCGAGCACATATTTTTCACGAGCGATTTGGGCCAATATAGGGTAGTCTGGCCATCACGTCCTGTCAGCGCAGGTGAGCCCGTCTCCAAAGCCTGTAGAGAAAATGCACATATATTGTGGGGCAAATTGGAAATTTAAATTATGCACATCATCTTCTCATCGTGACACCTTGGCTATTACCCATCCCCCCTGCCCCCCACCTCACCTTGGCTGTTCCTCATCCCCCTTGCCCTCCACCGCACCTTGGCAATAGCCCATCCCCCCTGCCCTCCAGTGCACCTTGGCTATTGCCCATCCCCCCTGCCCTCCACCTCACCTTGGCTATTGCCCATCCTATTCCCTCTCCCCCCTGCCCCCCACCTCACCTTGGCTATTCCCCCTCCTCCCTGCCCTTCACCGCACCTTGGCAATTGCCCATCCCCCCTGCCCTCCACTGCACCTTGGCTATTGCCCATCCCCCTGCCCCCCACCGCACCTTGGCAATAGCCCATCCCCCTTGCCCTCCACTGCACCTTGGCTATTGCCCACCCCCCCTGCCCCCCACCTCACCTTGGCTATTGCCCATCCCCCTTGCCCTCCACCGCATCTTGGCTATTGCCCATCCCCCCTGCCCTGTACCTCACCTTGGCTATTGCCCATCCTATTCCCTCTCCCCTCTGCCCCCCACCTCACCTTGGCTATTGCCCATCCTATTCCCTCTCCCCTCTGCCCCCCACCTCACCTTGGCTATTGCCCATCCTATTCCCTCTCCCCTCTGCCCCCCACCTCACCTTGGCTATTCCCCCTCCTCCCTGCCCTTCACCGCACCTTGGCAATTGCCCATCCCCCCTGCCTCCCACCTCACCTTGGCTATTCCCCATCCCCCTTGCCCTCCACCGCATCTTGGCTATTGCCCATCCCCCCTGCCCCCCAAATCACCTTGACAAGCAGTAGTGAGGATCACCCAGAGCCCTACCCGTCGTAGTGCCACTGCCCTGACAGTACCATCTTCTGTGTCCTCGTCCGTCCGCATCAGCTCGTCCACCAATTCCGCCGCCAGCGCCCGTCGTGTGATCTGCTCCTCTGCATCCCTTTTGTTGCTACCTCTGTATGGCCTCTTCACAAGTGAGATGTGAAGGTGCTCATACGTATCTGTGCAATAATGCACTGGCAGCCCTGCACGGCGAATGTCCTCGGGAACATGCAGCATTGCATGCACCTTGGGCAGATTGAATTCCGACTTCTGCTTGCTGCCGAATTGCTTGATCAACATTGGTAGAAGCCTGCATTGTGAGATGAAAAACGCACGAGTCCCACATGAGGTGAACCACCACAATATCCCCATCCTCTGAAAATTATAGAACACCAGCCAAGCAGTGTTTCCACTTACTCCTTGGTTAGACGCTCCAGGTGGCGCAACGAGGCTTCAGTGTGGTACGGGCGCAACCACACATCGCTGTGCCAGCAGACGTACATCGACACAGCGAGCACAATGTCTGCACTCTTCTTGTGGAGCTGCAAAAGAACCGGCAGCACTTGCATTACAGCGGCATGCTCGAAGGCCTGGAAGATTCCGACATTGGCAAAATACTTCTTGCCCTTCCCTGGTAGGCGGAAGAATGACTGCCGACTCCAGTCGGTAATCGTCAAGAGCGTCTGGTCAAAGCTGTCACGTTCCTTTGGGAACAAGCCCCTTAAACAACCCACAATATGCTTGAAGACCCCCAGCAATGACATGTGCATGATGTCACACATCATGCCTCTGTAGACGTTCCCCCACAAGGTGTTGCCATGTGGGAGACCCCATATGCCCACCTGTGGTTTGTTGGGTGCATGGGAGCGTGTGTCAGAGTGAGGTAAGTATTGCAGTTGACGTTTGCAGAAACAGGGCATGTGGTAGGTTACTGCTTAGCCAGACCATGATCCAGCAAAACAGCCATGAGTAACTTACCCACACCAAGTGTTGACTGTTCAGTTTCTCAGACTCTACTCGCCCCTCGGGTGGCAACGCCATCATTGTAGGGTAGCCAGTAATCTGCCCCATCTCCGTGCGGTGCTGCACTCTGATTCCCAGGTTCGACATCTGGCTTCTATGAACAAGGCAGCGCGGACATGGGAAATTGGTCTTATGGCCAGACTTCGTGCCAGCAACCTTGCACAGTTCTGGATAATCTCCCACATATGCGTAGAGCAGAGGATGCACTATCCGTGGTATGCCGAATGGATCCCGCAGCCTCTCCCCATCCTCCCCTAACTGCTTCATGTCCCCAAAGATCAGCGCAAGGGCTCTATGGAACACATCCAGCTTCCTGTGAGTGATGTCACTTCCAGGCGCCAAGGTTTTCTCATCCATCACCGGTAGTAGGGCGCACAACCGACGGCCATGTGGTTTCCAACGGTTGCATGAGGATATGTTTGCCAGTGACACGTACACAGGCCAACCCACGACTGACCCATCGTTTGCAAGGTTAGTCTGATCTGAGTAGACTATGATGGCTGCTATTACCGCCCCTTTGGGCAAGTCCTTTTGTGCCATCTGCCACCAAGTGCCACTGTCCGGATCTCGATAAACTTTGTCCTCCTCCTTAACAACAGGCAGTGGGTGCACGATAAAATCCTCCGCATTAGCAGGGTGGCTGTACATGTTCCGACCACATGACCACACAGACCTCCAGTGCAACACGATGTCTTCTTTGTCCCCAGGCTCTCTGAAACTTGTCTGCTTGAACTTCTCTAGCCCTATTGACACTGATTGTGTTTCTTCATATCGGTCATAATCCGCCAAGCTCTCAAATTCGAGAGGGTCTATGTGGGTGTCTCTCATCAACCCGATCAACTCCTTAATTCTAGGGCGAGATAAGCCTGCTTCCTTGCAGAATACAAAAAACCGCGTGTCCATGGCTGGTTTTTTCGGGTCTTGCTCACCCGCATGATCCGTGGTGCTGCCGGTAGCCATATGGTCAACCCTAGGATGGAAGCTACCTGGAAATTCTGGAGCGGGCCCATCCTCCACAGGGTGATCATCCACAAGGCTGCGTTTGCCGGCACGTGCGGAAGTTGGAGCCTCTGATGATTCCTCTCCCTGCTCGGGTTCCGTGTGGACTCCACCCCTACGATGCATGAGCCGGTCAAACTGTGAACTAAACCTCGCAGTGCAGCCGGGTCCACAAGCAATCGGCAAACTACTACTAGGCTCCATCTAGATTGCATTTCACACCTCCCACTAGCCTGTCCTATTCTGCCTTTCACTCTCTCCCTCCTTCCTCCCTCCTCCGCTCCCTCACTTCCCACCAGCCCAGCCTCTCTCTTTTCCTCCCTCCGAATCCCCCCTCCTTCCTCCCTCTTGTCCTCTCTCCGAATCCGCCGTCCCCCTCACGCTCTCCCTCCTTCCTCCCTCCTCCGCTCCCTCACTTCCCACCAGCCCAGCCTCTCTCTTTTCCTCCCTCCGAATCCCCCCTCCTTCCTCCCTCTTGTCCTCTCTCCGAATCTGCCGTCCCCCCTCACGCTCTCCCTCCTTCCTCCCTCCTCCGCTCCCTCACTTCCCACCAGCCCAGCCTCTCTCTTTTCCCCCCTCCGAATCCCCCCTCCTTCCTCCCTCTTGTCCTCTCTCCGAATCCGCCGTCCCCCCTCACGCTCTCCCTCCTTCCTCCCTCCTCCGCTCCCTCACTTCCCACCAGCCCAGCCTCTCGCTTTTCCCCCCTCCGAATCCCCCCTACTTCCTCTCTCTTGTCCTCTCTCCGAATCCGCCGTCCCCCCTCACGCTCTCCCTCCTTCCTCCCTCCTCCGCTCCCTCACTTCCCACCAGCCCAGCCTCTCTCTTTTCCTCCCTCCGAATCCCCCCTCCTTCCTCCCTCTTGTCCTCTCTCCGAATCCGCCGTCCCCCCTCACGCTCTCCCTCCTTCCTCCCTCCTCCACTCCCTCACTTCCCACCAGCCCAGCCTCTCTCTTTTCCCCCCTCCGAATCCCCCCTCCTTCCTCTCTCTTGTCCTCTCTCCGAATCCGCCGTCCCCCCTCACGCTCTCCCTCCTTCCTCCCTCCTCCGCTCCCTCACTTCCCACCAGCCCAGCCTCTCTCTTTTCCTCCCTCCGAATCCCCCCTCCTTCCTCCCTCTTGTCCTCTCTCCGAATCCGCCGTCCCCCCTCACGCTCTCCCTCCTTCCTCCCTCCTCCGCTCCCTCACTTCCCACCAGCCCAGCCTCTCTCTTTTCCTCCCTCCGAATCCCCCCTCCTTCCTCTCTCTTGTCCTCTCTCCGAATCCGCCGTCCCCCCTCACGCTCTCCCTCCTTCCTCCCTCCTCCGCTCCCTCACTTCCCACCAGCCCAGCCTCTCTCTTTTCCTCCCTCCGAATCCCCCCTCCTTCCTCCCTCTTGTCCTCTCTCCGAATCCGCCGTCCCCCCTCACGCTCTCCCTCCTTCCTCCCTCCTCCGCTCCCTCACTTCCCACCAGCCCAGCCTCTCTCTTTTCCCCCCTCCGAATCCCCCCTCCTTCCTCCCTCTTGTCCTCTCTCCGAATCCGCCGTCCCCCCTCACGCTCTCCCTCCTTCCTCCCTCCTCCGCTCCCTCACTTCTCACCAGCCCAGCCTCTCTCTTTTCCCCCCTCCGAATCCCCCCTCCTTCCTCCCTCTTGTCCTCTCTCCGAATCCGCCGTCCCCCCTCACGCTCTCCCTCCTTCCTCCCTCCTCCGCTCCCTCACTTCCCACCAGCCCAGCCTCTCTCTTTTCCCCCCTCCGAATCCCCCCTCCTTCCTCTCTCTTGTCCTCTCTCCGAATCCGCCGTCCCCCCTCACGCTCTCCCTCCTTCCTCCCTCCTCCGCTCCCTCACTTCCCACCAGCCCAGCCTCTCTCTTTTCCTCCCTCCGAATCCCCCCTCCTTCCTCCCTCTTGTCCTCTCTCCGAATCCGCCGTCCCCCCTCACGCTCTCCCTCCTTCCTCCCTCCTCCGCTCCCTCACTTCCCACCAGCCCAGCCTCTCTCTTTTCCCCCCTCCGAATCCCCCCTCCTTCCTCCCTCTTGTCCTCTCTCCGAATCCGCCGTCCCCCCTCACGCTCTCCCTCCTTCCTCCCTCCTCCGCTCCCTCACTTCCCACCAGCCCAGCCTCTCTCTTTTCCCCCCTCCGAATCCCCCCTCCTTCCTCCCTCTTGTCCTCTCTCCGAATCCGCCGTCCCCCCTCACGCTCTCCCTCCTTCCTCCCTCCTCCGCTCCCTCACTTCCCACCAGCCCAGCCTCTCTCTTTTCCCCCCTCCGAATCCCCCCTCCTTCCTCCCTCTTGTCCTCTCTCCGAATCCGCCGTCCCCCCTCACGCTCTCCCTCCTTCCTCCCTCCTCCGCTCCCTCACTTCCCACCAGCCCAGCCTCTCTCTTTTCCCCCCTCCGAATCCCCCCTCCTTCCTCCCTCTTGTCCTCTCTCCGAATCCGCCGTCCCCCCTCACGCTCTCCCTCCTTCCTCCCTCCTCCGCTCCCTCACTTCCCACCAGCCCAGCCTCTCTCTTTTCCCCCCTCCGAATCCCCCTCCTTCCTCCCTCTTGTCCTCTCTCCGAATCCGCCGTCCCCCCTCACGCTCTCCCTCCTTCCTCCCTCCTCCGCTCCCTCACTTCCCACCAGCCCAGCCTCTCTCTTTTCCCCCCTCCGAATCCCCCCTCCTTCCTCCCTCTTGTCCTCTCTCCGAATCCGCCGTCCCCCCTCACGCTCTCCCTCCTTCCTCCCTCCTCCGCTCCCTCACTTCCCACCAGCCCAGCCTCTCTCTTTTCCTCCCTCCGAATCCCCCCTCCTTCCTCCCTCGTGTCCTCTCTCCGAATCCGCCGTCCCCCCTCACGCTCTCCCTCCTTCCTCCCTCCTCCGCTCCCTCACTTCCCACCAGCCCAGCCTCTCTCTTTTCCCCCCTCCGAATCCCCCCTCCTTCCTCCCTCTTGTCCTCTCTCCGAATCCGCCGTCCCCCCTCACGCTCTCCCTCCTTCCTCCCTCCTCCGCTCCCTCACTTCCCACCAGCCCAGCCTCTCTCTTTTCCCCCCTCCGAATCCCCCCTCCTTCCTCCCTCTTGTCCTCTCTCCGAATCCGCCGTCCCCCCTCACGCTCTCCCTCCTTCCTCCCTCCTCCGCTCCCTCACTTCCCACCAGCCCAGCCTCTCTCTTTTCCCCCCTCCGAATCCCCCCTCCTTCCTCCCTCTTGTCCTCTCTCCGAATCCGCCGTCCCCCCTCACGCTCTCCCTCCTCCTCCCTCCTCCACTCCCTCACTTCCCACCAACCCCGCCTCCGTCACAACCCGCCTTTTGAGCTCCCTTTTCCCCCGCCTACGATCCGCCCTCCTGCCTTCTTTCGCCTTTCAAAACCTCCCTACTATCCTCCCTCACAATCCAATCCGACCCGCGTCTTCTTAACCGCAATACGCACCTTCCCTTACGTGCCTCTGATGTGCGATCCAACCTGTTCCCTCGACGCCTTCGCCATCCAGCCCTGCGCCCTCGTCTTGCGCCTCGTTCTCCCTTTCAGGCCTTATCCACAACGCGACACTTGGCCTACGTCTTAGCTCTATTCCGTCCGATCCACATTACACAGTCGTTTTCGCCTTGTCTTTCCTAATCGCCACCAGCGCAAACCCTCCGAGCCGCCTATCCTCCCCACTAGCCCTATTTTTTAGCGTCGTTCTGCGAGAATCTGGCCGCAACAGGTGTGAAAAAGCGTCAAAGGGGTCGAGAATAGCTCATCTCCTGTGATGGAAGGAATAAGGGAATGCCTGCTCCAGGATTTCGGCTGGAAGTGAATCTGACGGGAGATCTTGAATGTGGGGTGCTGTGCACTCATTAGATGTAACAGTTTACAAAATGAAGTTGCACTCATAAACAAACTGTACGATTACACGACCTGTTCTTCAGTCATGGGCATTTTTCCCTCGTCATATAGGTTAAAGGATAATATATTGCTGCAAAATCACTCTTACACAGACACAAATGGGATGGCTCCAAACGAAAATATACAACATCGGACGCTAAAATGCAATCAGTAACCCGCAGTGTAACAGTCATCTTACGATAACTCGACTCGCCTAGTAAAATGAATGCTTACTCCAGCTCCAGTCACTGTAGCCGATTCGCCAGAGAGTTGATTTGAAGTTGTGGTTGGCTCTCGAGATTTAGCACAATCCTCGAAACTAGCGAATGTGTAGCGGGGCACTTGCGGTTTTTTCCTTCTTTCTCGGCTCCCGCTGTCAAACGCAAGTGGAATTGTTTCGCATGTTGAAAAAAAACATATCGCCAACAATTCTCGCACAGCTCCCATGCGTCACCCCGTTGTTGTCGTGACGGACGCAACTTCTTGGCAACACTATTTCCGAGGTCCCCTCTTTTGTGATGTACCTCGTAGGCATTTTGCAGGGGTAAGGTATGAGAACGTCCCGTCTGCTCGTTTGGGGGTCTCCGTATCAGATGTGGTTATTGCTGCAGATCTTTGGGCCTGAGTCGATTGAGCCGTTTCCCGTGATTTTGGACTAAGAAGACTGTACGTCAACACGAGGTATCTAATGAATAGGCGATTGACTGGACGTCAGGTGTACTGTACAGAACCTATGCCTCATGTCATGCCCTTCGAATAGCCTGTCAACTCCACAACACAAGTAGTGTCTCTCTAAACTCCAGAACGCCTCCCCCCTTTTTGGATGGTTGTCTCGAACTCCGTTCCCGTCTGACGTAGCATTTACGAGCAAATGGAGTCACGGGAGGCAGCTGAAATTTGAAAGGCATCATTTTCAAATCGTTTTCGGAAGGCGGCAACGACATAAGTCGGACTTCTCGTGCACCGACCATGATGTTTCGCGCGATTGGTCGCGTGTTGTAATCATAACCTCCTTAATTATTTCCTACCCTGACACCAGAAAGGCATGAGCCTAGAAAAGCTGAGTGCGTGGTTAGAGCATTTAAGAGAGGACGGTCCCTAGATCGCAAGCTTTGATGGCAACACGGCGATACCTCTTACAAATGGCCGGACCTTTCAGTTATCACCGCTTCAATACTAACACATCCCGTTACAGTTGCAACAGTTACGATCTTCAGTACCGTAGAAGTAGGCGGTATCGGTTCTTAACTCCAGTCTTAACCATATGCCTGTTAGCCTCCTTCTCCTGCTTCGCACCTGCTGTCATCGCCCAGACGTTGGCACCGTCCCAAGGTAGCGCCTTCCCCAGACGCCTTATCCCGCATACCTCCCCCCACGTACTACCTTCACCTCCCTGCCTTTCCCCGCATGCTTTCCGCGTGTCCCGCATTTCTCCCGGAGAATTCCCAGTGTGTTGCTAGTGCCGCAACTACGATGTTCCTTTTGAGTCGACTCAAAAGTCAGCTCGTTCTCCCGCAGAAGTCCCAGTGTGTTGCTAGTGCCACAACTGCGATAAGCAAGGCGAGCTCGCTCTCGCAAACCTTGTAGTGCGTTCATTCACAGTGCACTCGCAACCCGCCCAACACGCCCCATCCCAAAAATGTGCCATCACAAAACATCCGTCGGAAATACGTTGCCCGTGTGTTTGTCGTATGTCCCAGGTGACAAACGTATAGGTTGCTGGGAGAGGTACTGGCAGTATGTTTAGTGTAGGTTCGGTTGCCGAGGCTGCATATACGTTACGTATGAAAGATCACCAAGTGCGGAAGCATTGTGATTGTTCTGATTCGTTAGCGCGCCAGGCGCTAATGAACCTCATTCATCGACGAGGTGAGTTACTGCAGTGAAGGCGAGGGTCGCAAAGAGCATGATTTGTCAACGATTCATTGGCGAAGTATCAGTAGTTTAGCCGCGACGCGTGTATGGAAATGCCTAATGGGTGGAATATATTGTGTCAGTGTTTTTCGATTGGCGTGTCAGCTTCGGCTCGAGATTGTGAAAGGTCGCTGTGCACGAACTGTAGCTACACGCTGTCCCGTGCGGATTGGCATAAGAGGTTCACAGTCAGACACAGGTGGTGCTCCAAGGTGTTAACACGTAGGACTTTTGAGCTTCCGCTATATTGGTCCGGTTCCTCAAGTAGTAAATGACGTGGAGGCGTTTCTGCTGTACACATAAGCTTCGCGCTATTGGAACGCGAACCCTGGATATTCCGGATTGCGCGTGGTTACAAATGCTATAGTAACGTATTGCGGCGTTTGTATCCGCCGCGTTATAATGTTAGATTTTTTTACTAAATGGTAACTAGGTAACATTACACACGCGTGTTACTGGATTTTGGTGGATTTTGGATTATAAATTCCCAGCGGGTAATTATATATTAATATCGAGATCCATTGAGCTGTTTGAAATACATTGCTACACAATATCCTAAACAAACAGCATATAGTACAATCCAGGGCCTCAGATATCAGGATGTTTTATCCTGAATTCCTGATTTTCAGGATGAGTATGAGGTGCCAGACCTGAAAAATCCGATTAAATGAATTTCTGACCCTGTAAATTCAGTATGGTTATCATATGACAACCCTGAGAACTCAGTATAGTGTTCGTGTACCAGCCCTGACTGCTCAGTATGAATTCGAGGATAACCCTGATACCTCGAATCTGGCTTCAGGGGGGGCGCTACGGGTGTACCCCCTGTTTTCTGCCCATAGTTCCATAATTTTCGTGCCAGCGCACATTTTGCCTGTAGATTGTTGCCGCGAAATGACCAGTTTGCCGCGTGCACTGCAAATCCTGTAATTCTGGCCAATAGCGGCTAAGTATACAGCCAGCGCAGCGCACCACAGCCAGGCCTCAGAAGGTGTTGGGGTGCTGCGGTCCACTCGCTGACGCAGCATTGCATGCATGGATGGTTGGACGGCCAACCACTCCATGTGGGGAGGACCAAACTCCCGCGCAGCCATCGCTCATGGTCCTTCCTCCCCACAGCTCCCTTTCATGCCTTGAATCATCCAACCATTCTAAACGATAGAGCTTGTGCTCGCTGGTCTGTTTCTCTGCTGTGAACCGCCCCCTCGTTAGGGGGCACTATGCTTGCGCCAGGATCTGACGACGAGGAGGAGGCTCCCGACGATCCTTCTACAGCGTCCCACCCGGGTGCCGTGACAGGATTAGACTTACTGCGAAGAAATCCTCCCGCATCGGCACCTCCCCCTCGAACGCACACCGCTGAAGTAGTAGAGGAGGCATCTCGCCATGTTGTAGCAACACCACCTCAGCGAAGCACTACGCCCCGCACTTCTTTTAATCAAGGGTCGACCCGTATTGGACCGCCGTCGAAGAAGCTCGAGCCCTCACGCTATCGGCAGGCAACCCTGAGTTTCGGGCGGTCGCAAAACACTCCCGCTCCGACTCTGCACGTCGTCCCTCCTGTTGTTTCAGGACCATCTACAGCTCCGACTTCGTCATCGGACACCGAACTTGAAGACGTGGCCGAACGAAAGTACCAGGAGGCTCTCTGGCAATTTAAAAAGCGGTGGAGTACTGACTTTCCTTGGCTTGTGCTTAATCAGACCCGTGCAGGATTCCCGGCTTTGAAGTGTAAGACTTGCATGGAACATGGCGGGCACGGAACGAACTACGGCAAGGGCGGAGAAGGTGCGACCGACGTCCAGACGCAGGCGATGCAAAACCACCAGCGCACGCGGAAGCACAAGAGAGCGATGCGGAGACAAGCCACCGCCACTGCGATCGCTGAGGGGCAGCTGCGCATGGAGGACTTGGCGAAAACACATACCGTCCAGAGCGAGCGTGTTACTGCACTGCTGGAGACTCTGCTTTTCATCTGTCAGTCCGACGCGCCCATCGAGATGTGGGTGCAACTTGTGCGGCACCTCTCAAAGCGACGTACTCCTGGTTTTCCCAAACGAGGCTACGGGTCTTACTTCACAACGTAAGTCCTTGGGTGTTTTATTCGTTTACTATTTAACATGTGTTGATCTCTCGCATGTACTAATCTCCCTGCATGGTTTGCGCAGGTATGGCTTTCAGGAGTTAACCAAGTCGACAGCCATGTACCTTCGAGCTCGTCAACGGGAGCACTTGGAGTCAAGCCCGTTCATTGGCTTGAGCTGTGACGAGAGTACCGACAGAGTTCGTGGCAAGCACATGATTGTGTTTGCTACTTTCCTTCGCGAGCGCATTGTTGTCACAGAGTTTCTAACGCTTCTTCCTGTCGACAAATGTGATGCAGCTTCTCTGGAAGGCTCTCTTGTTGCTTACCTCGATAGCATCGGCATCAGTCTCTCAAAGGTGTCGGGCATCAGCACCGACGGTGCCGCAGTGATGGTTGGAGCCACGAACGGGGTCGTTGGGCGCCTTCGACAGCGGATCCCGCATGTGGTTTCTGTCCACTGCATAGCGCATCGGTTCGTTCATGCATAGACTTCATATCCCGTTGAGAAAACCGTGCACTAACCACTGTTTCGTCGTGTTTCTACTCCCGTCCATCCAGGGAAGCCCTCGCGGCCAGAGATGCTGCCAACGCGCTGCCTGAGCTGGGAATTGTGGATGCCATCATCCGCGCGGTTGCTGAGCTGCTGGGGCGTTCACACAACTGGCACAAGATGTTCAAGGACCTCCAAAAGATCTTCACGGCGACAAATCTGGAGATGCAAGGGATTCACCTTGTTCGGTGGCTCAGTCGTGGCGGCGCCATTCTGAGGCTGGTGGCGGTGCTTCCTGCCGTCATCGTTCTGCTGCACCTCTACGACAAACCCATGTACCACATCGTCACATCGTACAAGTTTCACTTTTTCCTGTACTTCCTCGCCGACGTGCACGAGGAGCTCAACAGCCTCAATCTGCTGTTCCAGAAGCGCGAGGTGAGCCATTGCGGTTGCAATGGTTTCCAACCAATTCAAACAAAAAACATACTGCCGTCAATAAAAAAATTACTTACTTCCTCGTGTTCTTATTTCATCCCATGACACCCTCCTACAGATCGACCTGACGGGCGTGCAGTCGCAGGTACGGCGAACGATCGTCTTCATTCGTTCGCGCTACGTCAACTGCGGGCCTAACTTCGGCACGAACAGCGATCGCCTGTCCAAGTTTCTGGAGCGCCACGCCAGCAACCGAGATGTGATCGTGCAGGGCGTCGATGCAGACGGAATGGAGCGAGTGCATCAATTCGAGCTTCACGAGGAGCCGCTGCCAAACTACACCACTGCCCGCGGCGACAAAGCTTCCTGCACGCTCACCTGTCGCTCCTACGCGACCGAGCTCATCTACAACGTGCAGCTGCGGCTCGGCGACCTTGAGCGGCTCAACGGGTCAAAGCTGTGGATGCCCCGAACATGGCCGCGGAACACGGAGGCGAGGGACGAGGAGTGCGCCGAGCACTTTGACAGCGTGGTCGAACTCTTCCACGCCAGCGACCGCGTTGAAATTCTGCCAGGTAAGGTTATCCATGCCAATGTATATTATATGCCCAACTTGCTAAAATATTGCAGTTCCTGTATGAGTGTTGCTGATTTACGAGTGTTGCTGTTCCTGTATGTGTCTGGCAGGAGTCGACAAGCGGCTGGCACGCAAGGAACTCAGCACCCTCGTGCCAGTGCTTGCTGGTGTGCCAAAAGAGGAGCAGCCATTCCATGCCGGACTTGCAGCCATCCTGGAGACCAGCGACTGGCCGCGCAGCTACCCGAATCTCGTGCGCCTGTGGGTGGCTGTGGCAGTGCTTCCTCTCAGCACTGTTGAGTGCGAGAGGGGATTCTCGCGACAAAATGTGATTAAGAGCTGGAACCGGACGAGTCTGTGCAACGGGAAGCTGGAGGATCTGATGTGCATGAGTTTGCTAGAGTATGACATGAACTGGGATAGGGTCATTGAGGTGTGGCGCGGCATGAAGAAGAGACGGCCAAGGAGGGCCCACCAGAGCGAAGTGCGTGCGAGGAAGTCTGCCAAGGGCAAAGAGAAAGTGGTGGTGTTGTCCGAAGAGGAGCATGATGATGAGGCACGAGCGGACGATGAGAACAGCTGCTCCAGCAGCGGGTTTAGTTCTAGTGATGATGAGGAGGATGGTGGAAACTTCTGAGTCGAGCCACATGTATGCTGCAGTACTGTGAATATTGATTATCTCTGGTGTTATGCTGCTGCTATTATTATACTTAAAGCAACATTTTGGGCTGTTTTGAAGATTACCCTGAGGCTGCAGTTAAGTGCTGGATGCCAACCCTGACAAAACAGCATGAACATTGACGTCCAACCCTGACCAGTACACGTGTTTTTAAGGCCTAGCCCTGACTAGACAGGATGCCCAAAATCCTAGCTGAGGCCCTGGTACAATCAGCATAGTAACCTAACAACCTACACAAGCACTTAACTATGGTGTCTCAACAACAGGGCTCTCGGGCCAGATCTGGTAGTTGTTAAGATCCTCAAATCCATCACAGCTGATGAGAACACAATCTGCACTGGGGTGGAACCTCCAAGCCTTCTTCTCCTCGTTCCACCACGGGCCAGTGGCAGCCCTGGTTGGGCTTGTGATAGCAGCACGCACCACAGATTGAAGGTTGGCATGATAGGTCGCTAGCAGGGATCGATTGTCCACACTGCTTTTGGACAAATCCTTGTTATGCTTGATCTTCTACTCCACCTGCAAGATGCTCACAAACACAAGCTCAAGTCAGACCTGGCATGGAAGGATTAGGGGGACCCTGGGAGAGGGATGGGTAGGGAGACGTACCCCGAGTAGCCAGAAGGCAACATGCTTCAGACGCAGGACAAGGATGGCGTGCCCCTCCCTCTCATACGAGTGGAAAAGGGCACGGACGAACAGATCTGTGCCCATCAGCAATCCTAGCGCATTTCTGTGCCAGGTCATGAGGTCAAATGAGCGTTCATCTGGTGGGTGGTTTTGGGTTGGTGTTTGGGTAAGGGGGGTGTTGGGGTAAGAGGTTTATGGGTTTCCAGACGGGTAGTGGGTATGCACCACCAGGGTTGAGGGAGGGTGGCTTTGACTGCAATGATCCTTAGCTTTGCTTGCAGTTCTGTGGGGGGCTGTAAGAGGAGGGGGAGAACGTGGGCGGGGGGGGGGGATCTCTGGAGAACAGGCAGCAGCAGGGGAAAAAATGCTGGGGGATAACAAAGGCTGGGTGGGAACAAAGCCAGGGGAAGATCATGCGCAGGGGGGGAGCAATGGCAGGGGGTAAGAGACCGGGGTAGTTGGTGTATGAATGGAGGGAGGGAGAACCAAGGCATGGGGTGGAAGAATAGCAGTCGGGTTAAAACCCTTGCTGAGGGAGCTGAATCCAAGGAGGGGAGATCAAGAGCAGTGGGAGAACAAGGGCAGGGGGGGGAATAAAAGCAGGAGAAGAATGAAAGCAGGGGAGCATAAACGCATAGGGAGAGTAGAAGCAGGAGTAGAATAAAGGCATGGGGAGAGCAAAGGCAAGCGGAGAGTACATACAATTGGGGGAGAAGAATGTGAGGATGCGAGAACAGGGGTGGGGGGAGAAGTGTGGCAGGGGGGGATCAAACGCAGGGTGAGAGCAAGGGCATGGGGGGGGGAACACGGGTAGGGGTTAGCGAAGAAGGGTGAGGGGAATCAGATTGGGAGAGAAAATAGGCGGTGGGATAACATAGGGAGGGGGGAGGAACGGCACCGGGAGAATAGAGGCAGGGTGAGAGCACAGGCAGGTGGAGAGAACACGGGTGGGGTTAGCGAGTAAGGGGAGGGGATGGGGTTAGCGAGCAAGGGGAGGGGATGAGACTGGGGGAGAAACATGGCAGTGGGATAACAGAGGGAGGGGTGGAACAAAGGCAGCGGGACTGAAAGGCAGTGTGAGAACCTGCCGGCAGGATCAGAAGAAGGCAGGGGGAAAGAGAACGGGGGTAACGGGAGTAGATCATGGGCAGGGGAGGAAGAATGGCAGGGGAAGAACAAAGGCAGGGAGAGAACGAAGGCTGGAGGAGAAGAAAGGGATGGGGAGAACAAGGGCAGTGGGGGGAACAATGGGAGGCGGAGTGAAGAGGGGCTGGGGGAGAACAAAGGCAGGGGGAAGAAGAAAAGCAAGGGGAGAACAAAGGCAGGGGGAAGAAAAGAAGCAAGGGGAGAACAAAGGCACGGGGGAGAAGAGAAGCAAGGGGAGAACAAAGGCAGGGGGAAAAAAAGAAGCAAGGGGAGAACAAAGGCAGGGGGAAGAAGAGAAGCAAGGGGAGAACAAAGGCAGGGGGAAAAAAAGAAGCAAGGGGAGAACAAAGGCAGGGGGAAGAAGAAATGCAAGGTGAGAACAAAGGCAGGGGGAAGAAAAGAAGCAAGGGGAGAACAAAGGCAGGGGGGAGAAGAGAAGCAAGGGGAGAACAAAGGCAGGGGGAAGACGCGGCGGGAGAGGAGCAGGGGCTACCGGGGGAGAGGGAGCAAGGAACAGGGGCGGGGCGACCGGGAGACCTAGGTGAGGGAAGCGGAGGTAGAAGGAGACAGACTCGTCAAAGGTGATGTCACGAGAGTGGAGGAAGCGGTGAGACGGCGGGTGGTAGAAGAGCCAGTCAGACGAGTCCAGGGGGAAATCGAGGAAGACTTAGGGGACAATGCGGGCAGTGAGCTTGTTCGTGCCAGAGGCACGACATGAGCAAGGCAGCCCCAGACGTAGAACGCAGACGCGTCACCGGGGGACCCGGTCCAAAGGAGGGTCGGCGAAACCTGCGGCGGCTGGGAGCGTGGCCACAAGTTAAGCTGGTGAGCAGCATAGCGAACAGCGAACGGCCACAGACAATGGGGGGCATCGGCATGAATCATGGAGGTACGCGCAACCTCCATGACCAAACCGATGCGGCGCTCAGCAACCCCATTCTGCTCTGGCGAGTCCGGCAAGGTGTACGACTGGGTGATGCCCTCCGCATGACAGAACTGTCCAAGCCGACCAGAGGCGAACTAGCCGCCACGATCAGAGTGGAGACACAACACGGGGAGACCGCGGTGAAGACGCGCAGCCACAACCCACGGTAGAAGAATGTTGGGCACGTCAGCCTTCCGCTCCAGGGGAGACACCGTGGTTTAGCGCGTGTAGTCGTCGACGAACACAAGAAAGTAGCGCTCACCACGCGGTCCGGGGACGGGGGGCATGGCCCCAGACGTCCAGGTGCAGGGTCTGAAGGGGGGCAGTAGCAGGGCGCAGCCAGGAGGAGTGAGGAGCACGGCGGAGCCGGTCCTCGACGCAGAGTGTGCACAGTGGCGCAGTCAAGGGGGGAAGGGCAGGTCCTGGAGACAGCCGACACCAACCAGGTTCCTCGAGAACGAGGGAACGTGGAGGCATGTAAGGGAGCTCGAGGGAACTGCTGGACAGGGAAGGGAAGTGGAGCTGCGAGCGACGACAGGACCCGCAGAGGGGTCAGCGAGAGAGACAACAGCAGGTGTAGCAAGCGGTGTGAGCGTGGAACGGTCGCGGAAGAAGCAGGCGGAAGCACCGGAGTCGAGAGTGAAGGACAGCGAAGCAGTGGCGGAGGCCGGGAACGAAGCCGGTGCAGAGACTAGGCTAGGCACAGCCGAAACGTCAGTAAACGTGCACTGGGAGGGGGCGGGCACAGCCGTGGAAGATAGAGACTGCCGGCGCACTGCTCGACTGAGCGATAGTGCGCTGGCGAGTCTCGATCTCGGTGAGGGTGTCGACAAAGGCGGTCAGAGTGAGGTCACCGGGGTGCTGGCTAAGGAAGTGGTCGCGAGCACTAGCTAGGTGGTCCGACAGGCGCATGGCGATAAAATAGTGCGTCATGCAGAAGAGAGGGGGGAGCGCAGTGAGCTGGGCAGCATTGCTGGCAGTGCGATAGCGGGTCTCTAGGGCATGCAAGTGAGTGGCAAAGTCTGCGATAGTAGGGAAGGCAGCAATATCTGGGAACAGCATCGGGAAGAGCAAGCGGCCGGCGGAAGCGGATGCAGGAGTGGAATAGCGAGCAATAACGGCGTCTAAATAAGTTTTGGCCGTATCAACTGTACCAAAACGCAAGCGCTCAAACACAGGGAGGGCGTGACTAATAGCTGAGGATTGTATTTCCCCTTTTCCAAGCCTCACCTTTTCCCGTCCACCAACTCCCTCTCTCCCCACCCTCCCCTCCCTGCCCTCCCTGCCTCTCTCCCCCCTCCCCTCCCACCCCTCCCTCCCCTCCCTCCCTTCCCCCCCTTCCCTCCCCTCCCTCGCCTCCCTCCCCTCCCCGCCCTCCCCCTTGTGTGCGCGCACGCGCAGGGCTTTGGAGCACTACGGCGACGATGGGGCGTCCCTGGGGTCCATTCCCGATGCCCTCAGCAACCTCACTCGCCTCACGCTGCTGTGAGAGGACCGAGAGGGGAAGGGGGAGGGGTTGGGGGGGGGGGGGGAGGAGTGGAGGGTAAGAGAAGGAAGGTGGCAGAGAGGGAGGGTGGGAGGAGGGGCGGAGGCGGAGGAAGGGGGTGCTGAAGAGGGGGGGAAGGAGGGGGATGGAGGGATGCATGCGGGGGAGGAGGTATATGAGGCAACCAAATGAAATGCAGCATGGTGATGGTGATGGTGATGGTGATGGTGGTGTTAAGGGCAAGGCAATGAAAATAGGGTCTTGGTTCGGCTCAACTTGCCTTCTAACTGCCACGCATCGTGCATGTGCCGTGTATGTGTGTGTGTGTGTGTGTGTGTGTGTGTGTGTGTGTGTGTGTGTGTGTGGTGTGTGCTGTGCTGCATGGGCAGGGCACTCATCACCAACAAGCTCACAGGGAGTATACCTTTAGCTTTCGGCCAGCTTCAGATGCTCACTAGCATGTTCGTATCCACCTCATCGCATGTGTGTGTGGGTCGCCTGCTGGCTGTATCTGCGCATGCACATTCCCAGTGGCTGGCAGGGTGTGTCATCTTCCACCCACGGTCCACCATGGCTTCACTAGCTGTATCAATGCCATATCCCTCATCGCCTCCACGCCATGCCCCCATATCCCCCTGTCATGTCTGCTATCACCACGCCATGCCCCACATCTCCATCCTATCTGTGTGCGTGCAGTGATCTGAGCTCCAACCTTCTCAACAGCACAATCCCAGCCTCCATCGCCACCATCACATCCCTCTCCTCCTTGTTAGCCCCTCAACCCCTTGTTAGTCCCTCACTTGCCATGTTAGCCCC